CAGTTCACGAGCCTCGTTTTCGAATACCGCGCTCCAAAATCGAGTGCCGTCACCGTCGTTGTGGTCGCCCATCCCTCTATTTTAAATTAAAAATTAATTATTTCATCGCCGCACCCCCCCTTTAAGGGTATTGATTGCTTCGAATGTTTACTGTGATGGTGAGTTCAACAGTCCATCTGTGACAGGGGTTCTCAACTAGGCTGGACCTATATCGCAGTAGGGGAAAAAATGGTTCATTGAATAAACACTGAATAAATTTTACACAACCTTGGCATTACCTTACAGACGCGTGTGAATGCTTTTTATCTCGGTAGGAATAACTCGGGAGATCGCTCGGTTACAATTTGTTATTTTTTGTTAAATTTAACTTCACGTGTGAATCGGGTATAAGTCATTCTGTTTGGTTGCATGTTTCCATCTTAAACCGTTTTCGCCATTTCCCAGTTCTTTTCATAACCCAATCTACTACTAGTAGGAACAGGAACCAAGACATGTTGCATCCTTGCTTCACTCCCGTTTTTATTTTGAACCAATCTGTAGTCTCTCCCTGGACGATTATTGCGCACTCGAAGCCACTGTACAATGCTCTAATGTTTGTTATTTTTTCAGGTATCCCGTATTTCTTCATAATGATCCATAGGCCTTCTCTATGTATGGAATCGAAGGCTTTTTCAAAGTCACCGAAATTAAGATATATTGTTGCCTGCCATTCAGGAACATGTTCTATAATGTTCTTTAGGATAAAAATGTGTTCAATAGTTCCTCTGCCTCACCTAACCCAGCTTGTTCTTTCCTCAATCTATTATCAATTCTGTTCCTGATTCTATCTATTAATATTCTGCTGAGCACTTTGCTGGAAACACTAAGTAGTATCAATCCACACCAGTTCTTGCAATCTTTCAAGTCCCCCTTTTTCGGTATCTTAACTATAAGCCCTATTTTCCTTTTTTCCAGAACATTCTCCTTCTTCCATATCACATCAAAAATTGATGAACTTGGGCTGATAAACCAACATCGTAAGATAGCATTGTTTTGTGTTTCAAATATTTTCACACTCACTCTTCTTCAAACTAGGATACATGGATAGCAATGTTTATTTTGAATTATTTTATTGACGATATTTCAAAGCGTCACGGAAGACGCATCAAGCGTCACAGCCAGCTTGGAAGCATCACAGTGAACCGTGACGAAGTCCCAAGGCGTCATGGTACCTTGACGCTTCAAGGGCCTGGGGAGAACACTGTAGATCTTATGGGTTGAAGGTCAATATTTTAACATTTTTAAGGGGTCCCAAACAGGATGAAGTTACATTTTTTTTATAATTGATGGAGAGTTTATTTGCAGCAAAGTATTGGGACATGGGAATTAGATTGGCATTAACAGTGTCGAATAATGATTTGGTATTTTGATCGGAATAAAAAATGGTAGTGTCATCAGCATAGAGGAAAAAATTGAGAATAGAAGAAAGATGAATATCATTGATGTATAAAATAAATAAGAGGGGACCAAGTAAAGAACCTTGAGGAACACCACAGGTAATTGAACTGAAATTTGAAATTGAATTACAATATTTAGTACATTGGGCACGATTACAGAGAACTTTTGAAGAGCTTAAATGCGGGTCTGCGAATTCGATAATGATATAATTTATGCAAAAGTATATCATGGTCAATAGTGTTGAAAGCCTTGGAAAGATCAATAAAGATTCCAATAGAAAGATGGCGATTTTCAAATGCAGTTACAATTTTGTTTGTTAATTCGATGAGGGCCATGGATGTACTGTGTCCTTTTCTGAAACCATATTGTTTTTTGTAGAGTATGTTTTATTTGGAGATGAATGAAAATGTTCGATCGTAGATTACTCTTTCCAAGGCTTTCGAAAATAAGGTTTGAATTGAAACAGGGCGATAGTAGGAAAGATCACATTTATCACCAGACTTATATATAGGGGTAAGTCGCACTAACTTCATCCTGTCTGGGAACACACCAGAAGATAATGAGAGATAGAAAATATGGGATAATGGGAAGGAAATAAAATTTGCAATGTATTTTTTGTTGGGGTCAAAAGAGGAAAGAATGTTGAAAATTTCAGCTTTGTTAACTGGTGTAAGAAACAATGAATTTGGAGTTAGATTGGGAAGAAAATCTTTAAATGATTTGGTGGCATGGGGAATTTTGCTGGCAAGGGATGGTCCAATTTCTACAAAGTACTTGTTGAATGTGATTTTTTGAGGATCTTGGGTCATTGTGCCATCACAATTAAGGGAAGTATCAGATTGTTGAGCTTTTGATTTATTTAAGCAGCGAATTAATGGTCTTCCAGGTAGCCTTGATATCATTTTTGTGTTTAAGGAAAGTGGTATGAATATGCTTATACTTGGCAGTCTTAATTAAAGAGTTTAACTTGTTACGGAATTGTTTGTAGGCTTTTTCGTTGGCAGTAGAGGGGCAGTGAAGGAATTTAGCATACAATTTTTGTTTATATTTAATGAATTTAAGTAGTCCATCAGACATCCACGATTTAATTTTTCGTTCTTTTTTTACATGGTTTTGAAGTGGGAAATGTTTACCATAAAGTAATTTAAGGGTATTTTCGAAGTTGGTAGAAGATACATTAGGGTCTTGGGACTGCTGAGCAGACACTTCATGGCAGAATTGTTCTAAGGCAGGAGAATTAAATCTTCTGAAGCAATTCACATTTCTTTCTTCCATGCACCATTAGAAAAGAAAGTACAGTAATATTAAAAACAGGTAAATGATCAGAAATATCACTATACAGTGATCCACTTACAGTAGGTGTAGGTTCAAATTCATTGGTGATAATGTTATCTAACAGGGAAGCAGTGGTTTTGGTGATACGAGATGGTCTATGGATACGGGGAAGGTAATGGTTGCTAAACAGGGAGTTAACGAAATGGCGGGTGTCATTGTCTGATTCATGTTTGAGGATATCAATGTTAAAATCGCCAAGGATATAAACGATTTTATTCTCTCTTGATAATGTGGATAGGATAGAGTCAAGTTCATCAGTAAATTTTTTAGGGTCAAGGCAGAGTGATCTGTAGATTATACCAATAAAAATGTTTTTTAAATGGGGCCTATATATTTCAACCAGAGCCTTGCAGGCGTCAACGTTCCTATGCATGATACAGGACTTAAAAAGTATATAGGCCCTATATATATATATATATATATATATATATACGTGTATATATATATATATACATACACATATATATATGTCTCTTATACACATCTAGATGTGTATAAGAGACAGTAGTACAGCAGTTGTTAAGGGTATTGATTGCTTCGAATGTTTCCTGTGATGATGAGCTCAACAGTCCATCTGTGACAGG